GAGAGCTACTGGAGTGGGTCCAGTGGAGGGCTACAAAGATTATGAAGGGTTTGGAGCAACTCTCTTTCAAGGAGAGGATGAGTTTGGTCTGTTCAGCCTCAAGAAGAGACGACTGAGAGGGGACCTCATCAATGTCTGCGAGTGTTTGAAGTGGGGTTGCCCAGAGGTTTCCAGGCTCTGCTCAGTGGTCCCAATGAGAGGTAAGGGGCAGAAACTGATGCACAGGAAGTTCCACCTGAACACAAGGAAGAACTTTAGTGTGCAGGTGACTGGAACAGGCTGCCCAGAGAGGCTGTGGAGTCTCCCTCACTGGAGATACTCAAGGGTTCTTTTGAGTTTCATGGTGGAGCTCTGTCTCCTCTTGTTTTGTCTTTAGATCTGTTCCTCTGTATCACAGATCACAGCAGGAATGTAGCTGTTCCACAGAGTGATTCTTCAGATTCACTGCTCTTTCCTGTACTCTCTCAGCCATTCAGCCATGGACCTCAGTCTGTCCATCCTGCCCACGGCTGTTTGGAGGCAAAAGGGATTTTAAGTCACATATTCTGCAACTTTACCTGATAAAAAAATCCCCAAAAGATGGGCAAGTCTATTTGCATGTTCAGCTATTCAAGTGGTGTTAGTACATGAGCTGTCAGACCCGTGTTCCTCTTACAGTGGCCTTGCCATTCAGCAGTATCAGTTCCAGAGCTTGTGGAAAAGGCTCCTAGGGTAGTTAAGTGTTGCCAGAGGAAGTTTACTGTGCTGAGTCCAGCCTAAGCAGCGTGCCTTTTTTTAAAGAGTACAGGCTTGAAGTCTAATGAACTCTTTCAAAGTTTGTTATTTATCCTTTCTTCCACAGTTTGAAAACTTTATCAAAATAACATGACAACCTGGAGACATTTTGCATAAGGTGTTAGACCTAAAAAGAAAAATTGAAAGAAAACTAATAGCCTCTGGAGAAAATCCTAGATATTTGTCTGGTTGGATTTTCATTTTTCTCTAACCAATAGAGACTTTTTAGGGGAGCTTCTGCTGTCTATTTAACTTGCTTGAATGTTCATAATCTTTTCTCTTACACAGTGAATTAACTCGAGTGTACATTTACTCTGTTTTCTTTAGGCCTGGTAGATGCACATACACATCCAGTGTGGGCTGGTGATAGGGTTCATGAGTTTGCAATGAAGGTAACATCATAACATTGCACAGATGGATTTTTCTTCCTCCTTGGGTTTTTTATTTTTTTTAATGTATAACTGTTTCTACTTCCTAGTGACTCTCATCTTTCTTTTATAGAAAAATGCATAGTTTCTGTCAGATAATCTACCTGAGGGAGGAGGGATGAGTTTTGAATACTGATAGGCTGAGAGTGTACCTGCATTCTTTGCAGCCACCCTTGATATATTTTTGCATTGATGAAGCAATACAGGAATGCTGCCTTCTATTACTATCTAAGTCTTGACTTTTTCCTTCCTTTTTCTTTTCTGCATAAATGAATTTTGAGCTAGAGATCAGGACTTGGACTCAGGAGAAAGCAAGTGTTCAGAGTACTTCTCTTTATGCCACTTCTTACAACATTTCTTCACTTAAGTGGGAGAGAGAAGAAAATGGGGGGAGGGGAGGAAGAATTAATGGGGATTTTTTTCTCTCCTCTCTTTGTCTCTCTCACTGCAAAGAGACCTCGAGGCACTTTCCACTATCTCTTGGGTAGAAAACACACTGTTCATAGCTAATTGTATGAGAAGTGTTTTTTGTTTTCTTCTCTTTAACCCCAGCTGGCAGGTGCATCGTATATGGAGATCCACCAGGCTGGGGGAGGAATCCATTTTACGGTGGAGCACACTCGGAAGGCCGCGGAGGACGAGCTGCTCACCACCTTCCAGCACCGCCTTGAACGCATGCTCAGAGCAGGATCCACGCTGGTGGAGTGCAAGAGTGGATATGGCTTAAACTTGGAAACCGAGCTCAAAATGCTCAGGGTGATCGAACGCGCTAAGAAATCCATGGATATTGGCATTTCCTCAACGTACTGCGGAGCTCACGCTGTGCCCAAGTAATGGGACTTGACTTTTCTTTCTCTTGTTAAGTGCTGCTGCTTTGCATTGAGAGTTGGTTTCTTCTTCCCCACTCCTCAACATACTTGAAAAACAACAGCCAATATTTATAGGAAGCTCTCCTAAACTTTAGTTTAGTTGCAGTGCAACATTATTTTGTGACTCCTAATGCCAACACAGGCTTAGCACAGAACCCCTGCCTCCAGCTGATGGCTTCCTATCAGATCATTCTTCTGCTTGCATTTGCCACTGTCCTTCAAACTTGGTTTCTGCCATGAGATTTTATTTTGGCCAAATAACAACAAAAAATACTATATTTAATCTTTATATAGCTCCATAAACAAAGTTTAATTATACTTCCATGCAATGAAGACTTGCATACATCTTACAGCTATGAGATGAAGATTAAACTGTGTTTAATCAATTATTCT